CAGCAGGGGACAGGGAGATTGGGGAGGGATATCATGGGAAGAAATACCAGATATAGGTGACAGCCAAATGGAGGCAGCAAACTACCTTACCACGTATGTACCTATGCAACAATCCTGCATGATCTGCACATGTACCCGAGAACCTAAAGCACAATAAAAAAAACAAAAACAAACATCAATTTGTATGCATTAAATATATGCCATGTTTATTTGTCAATTATACTCCAATAAATCTGGAAAAAAAACAACAGGAATCTTTCTCTTAACTTTGCTATTTGCAACAGGCTCTATGCAGTCACCCCTAAAACTTGGTCTACACTTCACAAGCTCTCTATTCCTACTGCTATCTAATCATAGTTCTAGTCGCCCTTCTCGTCCACATTTAAATGCCCTATACTTGCTTGCCTTGCCAGTTCAATGCTTTCCTCCAGACCATTTTAGCTGACATCTCACGGTTCTACTCACGAACTTCCACCCTTGACTCCTTTCTTGAGTGGACAAATAACCTATGTGGCAAGGGACACTCCAATTCTTTCACCGTGATGAAGTCCTCTTCTTTACTTTTCTACTCATCTTATTCTCAGTCTCATTCTGTCACTCCCTATCCCTTCCTAATTACCTTCAACATACCATCAGTCTAACCCATTACCTCCTCATTAATTCCAACCCACTGCTGGCAAAAAACTGCTGGCTCTGCATCTCCCTTTCTTCCTCCTCTTATACCGCTATTCCTGTCCTGCCAGCCGATTGGGCTACGTCTTCCGTCTTCCTGCACCTACACACCTCTTTTGATAGTCCCCATCTCTACCCTCCCATAGAGCTTCTCTATTTCTTAGATAAGTTTAGCAAAACTTCCTCAGACATTTCATACCAACAAGCTGCTATACTTCTCTGCAACTATTTACAGCAACTCTCATCTCACATTAACTCCACTCTGCCCATATTAGGACCCCTTACTACACAACTATCCCCACTCCTGCTCCTCTATGCATTTCCCATCAACAAACCACTGGAATTCCCTTGGGCAATCTTCTATCTTCTAAGTGCTGCTTTACTCTTCATCTCCAAAGCCCTGACACACACGTTAATATGCCGTTAGGAGCATACTCACTTTGCTTCACCGACAAACGCTCTATCACTACTAATAACCTAAAAATATTAACAGTCATTATTGTCTAGGTCGGCACCTTCCCAGTCTCTCACTCCATCCTTGGCTACCCTCTCCCTGTTCCTCAGATTCTCCTCTTAGCCCCTCTGCATGCTTACTCAAACCTGGCCCTTCAAATGTTAGTGACAGACTATTTGTTGATACCACATGCTTCCTCATACATTATGAAAACCAAACTGCCCCCACCACACAGTTACCATCAATCTCCCTTTCAACCCCCTAACTGCTGCTGTTCTTGCTGGATCTTTAGGAATTTGGCAATCTGACTCCCCTTTCAAGGATCCCTCCCAGCTTTTCACCCTACGTTTTCAATTCTGCCTTCCCCCAGGTCTCCTCCTATGTGGCTCTCCACTTTTATGTGTCTACCCACTAACTGGAGAGGAACCTGTGCCTTAGTCTTCCTTATTCCTCAAATTCAATTTGCCAGTGGTAATGAGCAACTGCCTGTCTCCCTAATGGCACCTACTCGAAAAAAGAGTCACCCAGCTAATTCCATTACTTGTGGGAACGGGGCGTGCAGCCTCCACTGTAGGCCTTGGAACTGGCATAGTGGGGGTCACCACCTCTGTCACAACATTCCGCAGACTGTCTACTGATTTCTCTGCCAGCATTACAGACATATATAATACCTTGTCTGTCCTTCAAGCTCAAATAGACTCTTTAGCTGCAGTCTTCCAAAACTGTCGTGGTCTCGACTTACTCACTGTAGAAAAGGGAACTCTGTATATTTCTCAATGAGGAATTTGGCTTTCACTTAAATCAAACCGGCCTAGTTTATGATAATATCAAAAGGCTCAAAGACAAGGCTCCAAAATTTGCTAATGAGGCAAATAACTATGCCAAACCTGGTATATATTATCCCATCCTAGCTGGATGTCACGGCTCTTTCCACTCCTTACTCCCCTAATACCCAACCCCCTC